CGAAGTGGTCCACCTCCTAAGACACGAAGTGGATAACACATCCCTTGAACAACCAAAAGAAGGACGTAGCATGGGCAAACTGCTCAATTTCATGCTAAGAAAAGCAAATAAAAATAGACGAACTACTAACGCTTCTCGCCATCTCCACTTTTTCCTTCGATTCAAAAATTCTAGAGTTTAGCTCCTCACCTGCTCTTTTAGAGCAACATTCTCTTTATTGGTCAACTCCAGGGCCTTAGCAGCAAGCCATTGGTGGGTATCAAAGGTCTCCACTTGCTTCGTCAGAGGCCACTTCACTCTGAGACAAGTGTACCTCCTGAAGTCTTCAATTTTTGCTAATGCTGAAGCGAGTTTCACGAACTCTTCGACTTGGCTCTTCTTCAGAGACTCAACCTCAACCAATGTCCTCTTAGCTAACTCCTCCACCTCAGAGGTTCTGCTTGCGAATCCTTTATTTTTATTCTGAAAGTTTTTAGTGAGGGCCTCTGCCTCAATGGTAATCCCAAATGCCCTCACCAATTAGCTCACCATTGTTGTGAAGATGTCCTCACACTCACTGGACTCCACGAAGAATTGCCAACAATCTATCCAATATTTATGAAAGGTAGAGGTAGCGATTTGAACTTCTGAAGGCAGTATGGACAAAACCTTAAGGCCAGCTCATCGCTTTCTTTGAGAGACGAAAAGTTTGAGGCGAGGAGCCACTTTAGTTGCAGAGAACCCACTGGATGTCCTCGCCCTCTTCGAAGATTCTTGACTTGGGAGCTTTATCCCAGATAACCTCTTCTAGGGCTCCATGGCAGTAATGATTGAGGCTACCATCAACTTCTCCCCAATGGGAACTTCAGGTCGAGGTGAGGAGATGGTTGTAGACCCTCATTTCCCAGTGGCAGAAAATTTGTGCTTCTTTTTAGGGACCTCCTCAACCTTATTTTTCCCATTGTCCTTGCCCGTCGCCTTCTTAGGTGGTAGCTTCTCTGCTAACCCTCTCCACTTGGCCCTCCACCAATTTGCCAGCAACAAATGAGGGCTTCCACCCCTTCCTCTCTGTTGTAGAGTTGGCTGGAAGAATGGTAGCCATGTTGGGGGTAGGGTGCCTCCTCTTCTCGTAATTCTCTATAAGAGGCCAAAAAAAATAATACAAAACATAAGGTTAGTAAAGAGCAAAATATACAAAATAACACCACGTAATAATTACAAAATTACCTATTTGCACCATCAGATTGAATTTCTCAAAAAATTGGTGAGAAACGACCAGTCTCTCAAACTCTCTTGAAGAAGCCGAACATTATAAGCTCGAGCTCTGAGCTCGAAACAATCAGCTATCCCTGCAAAAGAAAGACAACATTAAAATCCACATCAACACAATTCTTAAGTAAAACACTTAAGAGACATAACACTCACTAGCTTCTAAGTAGGAGGTAGGAATTGTCACATGGGAGGAGGGGGGGCGGAGTTACCCTCACATACTTTTCACTTCCTCCTCACCAAGAACCACATATCTTTCCATCTTTTGATGAAGAAGGGGAAAGCGTAAAACGAATGGGAAATGACCCCCAAGGATATAGGAAATATCACCTTTTGTAATCCCTTTTCCCTAAGGATCTAGGCTCCAAAAAGGCCTGGAAGACATGAAGGGGCATATCCTTGCCTAGGGAGGTTTCTTTCCAAAGGAAATATGTTCCCACCAGTTAGGCCCACACATTAGGATTGAATTGGGTAGGTGCCAGTCCATATAGCCTAAAGACGACTCTAAAGAAGGGATGTAAAGGCAATCAAAGCCTTACCTTCAAAATGACTCACTAATGGCTACACACCCCGAATTTGGATAACAGGCACACTCATCAGGGAAGGGAGCTAGAAGTTCTATGTCGTAGGGAATACAGTATTTTTCCTTAAAGGTTTACAAGTGGGAAGCATCTATGATGGATGGGATTTTCGAGGCTCCCCAAGCCTCTTTCCTAGGCCCACACCCCATCAATGGAACATACCTCCGCCCAGCCCTTATAGCTTTAGCAAGGTCCATAGTATTAGTAATTTGAACCCCTATTTCAGACGCCAGTTCACTAAGGTTCTACTCTCTCTTTGGAATGTAAAGAAACCATTTGAATTAGAAAATAGATAGTTTTAAATACTTATGGAATCACACAAAAACTCCAATGGGAAATGGTTGAAAATCACAAAAAATGGAACTTGAAATTTGAAAGAGATTTAAAGAGCAGGAAGAAGATTGTGAGAATATGAGTTTAAGGTAATGGCAAAGGCAAAAGTGATTTTTAGCCTAAAATGTCGTCTTTTATAGGCAGAAGCATTCAATCCCAGCCGTTGGATGGGGATCCAAATCATCTAGCCATTAATTACAAAATTAAATCTAAGTCACTCACCACATCTGCCACTTCATATTCTAAGGCCCATGACAACCATCATTGTGCATTAAATGCGACGATGGTTGTGTGTGTGAGAACGCAAACAGTTGTCAACCGTCTTTTCCTGGGAATTGCAGAAGACAGCTAATTGTTACAGCACAGTTATAAACAAAGCCTCATGCTCACCAACACCGAACTGGTAAGACCTCTTCAGCTTCATCACCATTGACCTCGTCCAAATTGACGAAGCACATCACCTTTGTCTTAACATTTACAACTTCAACAAGATCAAATAAATATATATATATATATAACCTCCGAAAGGAAAGCATCAACTCTAATAAATTTCCTCGACTAACAACCTCAATAGGAACCTCGGTTATTCGTTATACTCAATTTTCAAACTCTAATTTTCATATAGATATTAACAATTAGGCTTGGGGAACTACTATTATGGGATTAAAAAACACCCTGCAAACTTTTTCCAATATAAGGGAAATTCTATGTATTGCATAAATGATTACAAACTTGGGGGGCTATTGTTACTAATCATATGTGAAGCTTCTTGTGGAGGCCACGATGAGAT